ACACGGGTAGCTGTTAATGAGAGTCTACAACAGCCTTTTGGAAATGCTTCTGAACCATACAGGGAATCACCGACTGACTTGATGTTAGTGTTGAACAATATTCGAATGTTGTTCTTCTTCATGTTGGATGCAGTAGATTTGAACACTGATTTCAGATTAATAAATATCTGTTTCGCTTTCCCGATCCGATGATCACTTTGACATCTTCATTCCTGTGCCACTCACTGCCTGTAGTTGAAACTGTAACGGAAAAACTGTTTGTTAAATCCTTTGTAATTATTATCCGTCCTTCGCCTGGACTATAGTATCACTGTTCTGACATTTGCATATCATACGTTGACTTGGTCCTTATTATTGGTCTTTGTCACTGTTTAATCTCTGATTTTAATGCGTCTCTTTGTGGTTGTGTGATGATGGTGATATTGTATTGTATTACGATATGATTTTGTTTGAGTGAATCAATGTGATTCTAACTCTAGACTGTCGTCTGGGGGAGGTATTGGAGTGTAATTCTTGCTAGTTTCGCATATGCCAGTTTACGCCGTCTCTGGCGTAGACGTGATATCCAGCTGGCTATCGACCAAAGGGTGTGTGTACTGCTCATCAGTCCACTCTGTCCCCCTTTATGGCTTGGAAACCTGGCCATTGAGAGTGGAAGACATGAAAAGATTAGCTGTCTTTGATCAAAGGGGCCTGCGTTTTGTCTCCCGCATGAAGTGGTATAACAAGGTGAGCAATATTGAGGATAGGCATTGGTCGAGTGCTAGGTAAGGAGGGGAAATCAGCCGATGAGACTGAAATTACATCGACTGAGATGGTTAGGACATGTGTTACGTATGCCTAGTCATCGCCTTCCTCGACGGGTAATGTTAGCTGATATAGGGTCAGGCTGGAAAAGAGCTAGCGGCGGTCGAACCAAAACATGGCACTAGTCGATGAAATCTACAGCAGTTAGTCTAAGCCACGTAGGAAGGTGTAGACATCGTGGTTGGGGTCCTCGGGATGGTAAAAACCAATGGTTGGAAACAATTGGTGACATGGCTCAAAAGTGTTCTCAATGGCTGGTGAAGATGCATCCACTCTTTGTGACTTATGATTTCCAATCAAACTGTTTTGTTCTTCGTTATTACTATTTCTTTGTCTCACACCTTTGTTTACTGTCTATATTATGCATTTCTCCTACTTTCTTCTCTTGCTTTGTGTGCTACATGGAGGGTGGCGACTTGAACTGCCGCACATCGGTGCAAAGTTCTATGTCGACAACAGACAGACAGAATTCTTGCTGATAAAGTTTTTCATTCCCACCTTGTTGGGAACACTCTACTTGATAATTCAAAGTACTTACTTGTTTTGTATTTAGAAAATAAGCTTTTCTGTATAGCTAGCTGCGTAACAGGCAGCACTGTTGAGAACCACAGATTCCAGAGCAACGAATATATAATCACATCGTGTCGCTGTCGTCTTCAGAGCGTTTCATAACAGTATGTGAGTGTGTGTCACAAAGGAGTTTTACCAACTATACAACCACAGTAGTAGGACACAGAGATCGCTTTCTTGCAATCAGTAGACTACAAAGAGTCGATGTTGATCATAACAGAAACGGAGCTGCTGAACGCGGGGCATAAGTGAAATGATGTGAAGTGATCTCGTTCAAATTCATCCTTTTGATAATGATTAGTTGTCAGATGTCTTCATTATTATTTACTTATTTATAATATTTCATGAATTCAACCTTTGAATAGACGCCTATAAATAATAATTCATAACTCATAAACAGCAGGTCAAAGATGAGGCAGTAACTCATCGCAGAAGACATTGCGAAATGGTCGCGCTATGACATGAATTGGCAGAAGTTAGAATTCAAGAACCATTGGATCGCGTCTCAGTGGCTCAATGGTCTATGGGCTCGCTAGCCTTCTAACCAGAAGGTCCTGGGTTTGAACCCCAGTGGGTGCGTACTGATGAGGAGTCCCAATCTAGGACGAAACAGCTGTCCAGTACTCTCAGGTTTTCCAGTGGTTCTCTAACTGATGTCAGCTCATGATGAAATTCTCCAATCAATCATAAACATATATAAATAGATGAAAACATTTATATTGTGTTTTGTATACGCCATATACCTACCTCTATAAATAGCCTAGTATACATGGAAAATATTCATGACCTGAGATGAACGCAATGCGTCTAGACCACCAAAAACATAAACAATCATACAATCAACTGGAATGTGTACTCACAATCATTAAAATTGTATATGTGACCCTGATTGTTTGTTTGCTTTTTTTGTTTACAAAAAAACGTATGATATAACAATAACAAGGGGGTGGGGTGGGTGACTGGGGTGCCTTGGTAATATCTCTTGTGTGAAAATATGTAAGAATATATTATATTGTGAAAAACATGCCTGAGAAAACAACGACCAAGTGTCACACACATACACACAAATGTAAACAAAACGAAATACTTATTATTATGAAAACAAGTTTTCAGGAGATACAAATCTGAGAAAACCAGGCAGGCTTTAGACCAAGAAGACGGTGTATATTGATCATATCTTTATCCTTCAACAAATATTCTGGAACAAAGACATACTTATTGGTGCCTAAAACGTTCTATATATATTGAGAATCTATCGACTGAGAGGTGCTATGGCAATGTCTAGCCATGAGGGAAAAAGGCTGAGAAAGGACAGTGCACTGATCAAGACACTACTCGAACTTACGCAACCGTGTAAAAGAGCTAATGGAGAGTTATTATCTCTAGTGATGACAACCAGCAGTGTCGGTTAGGGATACTCCACTGTCTGTACTTTTATTTAATTTCAACAGAAATCTATTAATTGGATCGATGTTAACTGAATAGGCGACTTCGGCATTCACTTGCTTGTTACCGGAGAAAAGTTTTGTGGATTCGGAGTATGAGGTTGCTATTATTCTGATAAAATGCAGAGTCTTCTGAACACCTCAAGTAGCAATTTTTGAAGATTTAGCGTGCGATTCCCCCTGGACAAATGTAAGATGATGTTATAGGATTAGACTACACTGACTCCTAACTTAAAGATAGAGGGTGAAGTGGCTGATCATACTGACCACTTCACAGTTATTCTGGAAGTTGCATCAACCGTAATAGAATAATTGCGGACAAAGTCAAAGCATTTGCCAACTTATATCATCTCCGGCATAGACGTGATATCCGGTTATAGATAAATGGGTAAGGTGCAGTAGTGTGCAGCAGTTCGCTGTCTTCCTTTGCGATTATGAGACATGACTATTGGAAGTGGAAAATATAAAAAGGCTACCTGTCTTTCCCCACAGATGTTTGCCTTCCCATATTAAGTGATATAATGTTGTGGTGTGTACTACTGATAAGATTTATCAGTAGTATATAAAGAGACATTCATCGTCATAAAAACATCAAATATCAGGAACATAGAATTGACGTCAGAGAAAGCAAATGATTCAGCGTTACGGAGAAACATGGAAGATGTGAAACGATCACAAAGAAACACAATATGAAGGAAGGTCAGAAGTAGCAGGCACAACACGGAGGATCTGTGCAAATGGTGATTTGAAGATAAGCTGTACACAATTTGGCTATATAGAGATACCAAATTCCAAATAAACATCCCTTTACAAATTCTCTGGTCCCCTATCATTACAATATATCGAGTAATATTAAAGTTACACGTAGAGCATTAGGTAGGCAGGGTAAGTCACTCAATAAAGTTGTGAAGCCATATCGATTGGCACATCTACGACACATGTCGCGTATGTCAGTCAAATCATCGCCTTGCTCGACAGAGAAAATTAGCTGACATTGGATTAGGTTATAGAAGAGTTAGACGTGGTCAAACCAAAACCTGGCATCAGTTCATGAAGTCGTCAACAGTTGGTTTTAGGTCTTCATGATACTAAGAACGAAGGACGGGACACTGTCGGCGATATGGCTCAAAATAATCCTCAATAGCACAGATACGTTCACTCTTTATGTGATTTCTTATATCCACGAAACCTCCACGTTTTCCCCTTGTTACTATTTCTTTCTCCGGCAGATTTCTGCGCTTATCATAGTTCTTTTGAAACTCTTTTTCCTTTCATTTTTTGTCTACCTTTACCCTTGTTTGCGCTTCTCGAGAGTGTGATAAGTGAACCTGGTGCACTTTTGTGCAAAGTTCTGAGCTGAAACTCAATCAATCAGTCAAGCAGACAATATATTGAGATACACTGGGAAAAGACAAAGAAAAAAAGGATCAACCAACTAATTAATAGTATATAATGAAGTATAATGAATGAGGTTGTCAGAAACCCAAGTATCATTAATGGATAGATGACATCTGGTGATAAAGTTCACAGTATAACCAGCTGTTGGGTTAAGAAATACGATGTTGTTTACGTTTTCATTCCTCTCTCTGGGGGCGCTTCAAGCCTTAAGCTTTTGAAATTTCGGTGGCTTACTACCACTATTAGGTAAGGGGTTTCGGAATGAGTCAGTCAGAAATCGAACCTCAAACCACGTAGATATTTGACAAGCATTCTACCAATGAACTACTAATGCATTAGAATACATTCTTTGATTAGTCGGTGACTAGGATGTCCCCAATGTTATGTATCTAGTCCTACGTTTAGTGCAGATAGAATTGTATCAGTCTAGTTCGCAATATGACCACCAAGTTAAGTGACTCACCACATCACAGTACAGTCTGAATTGGTCATAGATAGTTGGAGGCAGTTAGTGGTAAGCCTTGAAACTAAGTTTTGTGTTTGTTGGTACTCGTCAACAAGGCATATCTGCAACCTTGAAGTGATTCATGTCCCTTATGAGATTCAAACCTATGTCACCCAGTGTTGCAGCCACCGATGTTACTACTGAGGTATCCGAGCTAGTGATTGACCTCCTGTAGGACTGTATTGAAGACTCTGACTAGTCACTAAATAGTAACCAACGTCATACATAAACAAATAAAAAATAACTTTTAATAATAATAATAATAAAAAACTTACTTTCAACTGATTATTACTCAATATGAGAACTTTTAAATTGATTAAATGTTCTATATCATCGGGGAGTTTAGTCAATTGATTTGTGCCAACATTCAGCTCCACTAAACTTGTCCAACTTTTGATATCTTGTATATATATATATGTGTGTGTGAATGTGTGTTTTGAGATGGAAAAAGAAGTTGGTACGGAGATCGGAGACAAGAGAAAAGGAAAAACGTTATAAATTTTATATATTACATATTATTATAAATGAATTTTTTCAACTTTTAATAACGAATTGATATCAGTTAGAGAACTGCTGAAAACCACGCAGTACTGATGGACGGTTGCTTCGTCCTGATTTGAGACTCTTCAGAACTACGTACCCATGACCCCACCGACAAGGATCCATCCAATGTCCTTCATGGGTCATTGAATTCGGTCCCAGTGGTTGAATGGTCTGTGAGCTCGCCTTATAACCGGAAAGTCTTAGACTCCCACCTCGGCTGGTGCGTACTGATGAAGAGTTAACCCCAAACAAGGACGAAACAGCTGTCCAGCAGTACTCCCTGGTTTTTCCAATGGTTGTCAGCTCATGACCGGGCCTGTGGTACCAAGGATGGTGTTCACATGAATTTACCAGTGAACATAACGTGAACAAGAGAGTAAAAGAGATTAATTGACTGACTGACTGAGTAAGTGAGTGAATGAAGATGATGAGCACAACTCAGAAGCGGAAATATCATATAACATTTAATAATGATAATAATAATAAACTAACCTGGTGGGAAAGCACTGATTTGATTGTCTTTCAAGTTTAATTTAGTTAAATTCGATGCCCGTGAAAATATACCGAATGGTATCCGAGTGATTTGATTATGTTCCATATTGAGTGACTAGAAGAGACATACAAGAAAATGAGAGGTAGTGTAGAGTTAGGTAATCAAGGACTAGTAGTCAACATTATTTATTTTATTTCCGTTTTGTGGAGTTCCGAGTGGAACATATAGGACTTCGACATTTAAGAGATGCTATCTTTTTTCCTTCAAAGTAGGACTGCTAACCTTAAGTCGAACCTTCTTCCCTATTCTATAGATTTGCTATCAGCTAAATAAGTGCGGTTTAAGAGTGAATCGGATGGAAATCGGAGCAAAAACCACCTCCCATATAGTTGGTGACAGTTTAAAGAAAAAGATACAATTTGTGGTCTTGTAACCTGAAGGTCCTGGGTTCGATCCCCACCTGTGGAGTCATAAGTGTGTACTGCTGAACAGTCCCAAACTAGAACGAAAGAGCTATCCAGTACTTGGTGACTAACCCCTATAAACAACCGGGTGCGGATGAGAGTGGGTAGACTTCCCTCTTTACCTTGAAATGTTCTCATGTCGTCACGAGTCAATGCCATCCGCAAGGTAAGTTCTATTCACCGCATTCACGACGTGTCGGTGTTCCTCACAAGACTAACAAAGAAAATGCAAACGTCTGGCACTTACCACCGAAGCGGTGCACATGCTGATCTACCTTAGGAACCTGAAAAACCTTGATTCCAAGCCTATGAGGTACATGGGTTCCACAAACCGAACGGAAAGAATGCCATATGAACCTCTTTTGGTCATTGTCAACCATGGGAACGTATCTAGTGACGCTACTCATCTGTCTTGAGGATCAGATTTTATGTTAAAGGCTCGGGGTCAGGTAGCCCCCTTAAGATAGCCGCTACTTCGGTCTAGGCACATAAACCCTGTCAGACAGTTAACTTCACATTCAAGCATAAACATGTTCGTTCAAAAGATGCTTGTAACGAAATGAAGTATTAAATACCTTGAAATATGTAATTTCATTTGACCTTTCTTGGTCATCTCATATCTTGTCGACTTCTAAGAAAATGTTCCGTCTAACCTAGTACATTAGGAAGTTAAGACAATCAGGAATTACTCAACACCTCCACCTTTACAGTTTGTTAACTCTTGCATATTACCTATTGTACTTTACTGTCCCCCCTTAGTCTTTCCTGGGCTTCTCACAAAAAGGATTATGTCCTATTACGCAGGGTATTAAAGGTTGTCAGTAGGATATGTGGTGTGCCAGTAAGTCAGCTCGTTACTACTATGGTCGACAGATCCCTAAACTCGTTTGAAAAATGGTCCAAATCCATATTATCCGACTCTCAACACCCTCTCTGTTCACAAATCTCCCCGCATTGAATCTCATCAGGTAGGGATCTATAAGTCACCATAAAAGGACACGTGTTACGTATGCCTAGCCAACCCATCGCCTTCCTCGACAACAGGTAGTGTTAGCCACTGACATAGATGGATCAGGTTGGACAAAAGCTAGTGGTGGTCAAACCGAAACAGGGCATCATTCCATGAAAACTTTGACAATTAGAGTTTAAGTCAGTCACGTAGGGAGGTGTAGACTTCCTGACTACTTGAGGTCCTCGGGATAGTAAGATCCAATGATAGCTGGGGACAATCGGTGATATGGCTCAAAATCATTCTCAATGACTGGCGCAGATGCATCCAACCCTTGTGACCTATTATATCCATTAAAACTATATATGGTTCTTCGATATTACTATTCTTTTTGACTCATATCTCTGTTTTGCATTTCTGTTTACTTTCTTCTATGCGGTGCTAAGTGAAGTGTGGCGACTCGAACTGTTGCACATCAGTGCAAAGTTCTTCGTTGAAACCGGTTAGATAGTCAGTCAGTCAGTACAGGAATATTCATTTCAAAGTCAGTGTTGATCACTGGGTAGATCATTGGGATATATTCACACGCTCGACCACTTTCCAACTACATCAAGGAAAGCAGCACAAGTGAGAATCAAACCCACGATAGTGAAATAAAAGAAGGAGCAGCACACAGTCTCGAGGACAAGGAGAAGAGCAATTTGACTGACTTACTTGTATACAAGTGAATTGTTGAGGACCACCGGCTGGGAATACATTGAAATAATTTCTTGACAATGTTACACACGAGATTTTCTTTAAATGTGTTAATAATCCTTCCTGTATTTGTATGTTTTTTTCCAAATGGATGAGGAGGTGCGAAGCAAGAAATATGAAAGAAAGCAATATTAATAATAATAATAATAATGAATAATTATGCGATAGAAAATAATTTAATCGATTAAAGATGTCAATTTAAAAAAACACCTCAAAAAAAATTGGAGTCAGTCCCTACAAACCAACAGCACTAATCGCCCACCAGGGGGCTCGAAACCACGACCTTCCCGGTCGGCTCATGATCAAACCTTTAACCACCTATGGTAATTCCTTCAAACCGACACTTTATAATTAATCTGGTACATACTAACAACTGGCTAAGAATAGAAAGTTGCCTGGAGTTCTAGTGAGAAGTCATGACCAGTGGGGTCCAACAAGTCACGTAAGAGGAGTTAAAGTGTTAATCGCCTATACCACTAACTGGCTGTTGCGATATACATACTGCCAGCCAATTGACAGAAGCTGCAATTCATAAGCTATTCGATCGGGTCAACTACTTCAAACGGATCAAAATGTCAGTAGTGAAAAATCTTCTATCGGGAGGGAATCAATTGTCAAAGGCTACCATAGATACCGGATACTTTAAACATCAGAGGTAAGTGCAGTTCGTTTAAGACAATCGGAACTCTGTGAGCAGACGAAACAGGTCTAGTCATCACTATTGCTCTACCTTGGCGCCTACTGTGAAATCTATAAATTAATAAATTCTGTACTGCCTTTATTATTTTTTCTTGATTACTATTGTAATATATTCAATTAATTATTATTATATGATTATTGTTCCCTTGGGTTTCAAATGGGACATAGGGCTTCAGCAGCACATATCCACTTCGTCCTATACTCTACAGCCCTCTTTATAGCTGGCTCCACAGTTGCCCATAGTCCCTCATCTCCTCCTCTCATGATCTCCCTGATGTCACTATCAGTCAACCAACTCGTCGTTTTCCATTCAGGTTCCACTCGAAGGCCTGGCGCACGATGTCACTGAACGATTTCCTTAGAGTGTGTCTAATTCATCGACATATCTGTTGGATAATGTGTTCTTGATTGGATTGTTCCCAGTTTCTTATTGCTAATTCTTTTCAATCGGCCATCTAATTTTCAGTATGGAGCGGAGGCAGCAGTTGATAAAAGTTTGCGGTAGCCTGTTGGAAATGCTTTTCGTGACGCCCTGACCAATTTACCATTGGTGTTGAAAATCCGAATCTTTTTCTTTATACAGCAGAATGCAGAAGATTCCAAAATTGATTTCAAAGTAATGAAGGTCTCCTATGCCTTTCCCGTTCTGGTTTTGACATCCTCATCCGTGCTGTCGCCTTTAGTTGAAACAATTCTGACCTCTTTCAAATCTCTCTAACTGATAGTGATTGGTGTTCATTGTTGTTGTTGTTGATGGTTGGTTGGTTGGTTATTTTCATCACCTCCATCTTCTCTATGTTCAGTTGAAGTCCTGTCATTGTTTTTTTTCTTCCTCGTCTTCTTCTGACAATTTGTTGCCTTTCGCCTGTAAGTCTACGAGTTTGTGTGACACTAAACATAGATCGTCCGCAAAATTCAGATGTTCTAGAGTCTTCTTATCGATCCAACGTATTCCTGTCTTACTGCTCACCACACACTGTCTTCCGCATAATCTAATCCACCACAATTAGGAATATCGTCGTGGGTGATAGTAGACAGCCGTGTCTTACACTCCTGTATTCACTTTAAAGGCTTCAATTTAGTGTTATATATTTATGCATATAATCATTTACAGATGCCTTTCAATTGAAATCAACTGATCCGAATGATTCGGTAGATTATTTTTTCAAGGCATTAATGCTGTCAATAACAATAGGCCATAAACTATAGACGACAGGTATTGTTTTTAGAGATTTGGATTTGGTTTTGTAGGGATTTTGTTTGATTGGTTGGGAGATTTCATAATGAGCTGGTATCGGTTAGAGAATCATTGGAAAACCTGCAGGGAGTACTTCCAGACAGCTGTTTCCTACATCCTAGTTTGAGACTCTTCACCAATGCGCACCCACCAGCCAGGGTTCGAACCCAGGACCTTCTGATTACAAGGCGAGCTAGCTTGTGGACCATTAGGCCACTGGGTTCCGATCCAATGGTCAGCCAGCCCATGAATTCTAACTTCTGCCAATTCACAATATACCGCGACCATTTCGCAGTGTTTTCTTCGATGAGTTACTGCCTCACCTTCAACCTGCTGTACCCTACTGGTCACGGCTTCCCATTAGAACCATAGGTAACTGCCTACCTGAGTAGAGTCAGTCACTAGTGAGCATCAGATTTCGATTAGTTTCTTTGTAGATTTCGTAGCTAACAAATATCAATTAGTGATTATTGAAAATCAGGGAGTACTGCAGGACGTTTTTTCCCTTCACATTTTACAGATACATAGAGGAAAGCAAAGCGAAGCACACATACACTATGCAGAAGATCGCTGCTTGTCTCCTGATTTGTTCATGTATACATATACATAGCGTAGATCGTTTTCCTGTTGAAACCAATAGATATTATTAGTATTTTTTTTAAAACCAATGGGTATAGAAAAAACAAATAGACACAGGGGTCAAAAGTTCAGCTTACCGGTAATTGCCAAATATTATTGCCTTCAATATTTAATTCTAAGAGATTTGTACAACGTGCCAATGAGTCTGGCAATGATTCTAAATGATTATACCTGTTAAGATGAAATAGGATGTTGAGAGTTAACAATACAATAACAAAAAACAGCACAATCAACACAACTAATAAGCTACAACAACAACAACAACAACAACAATGATAACACCAAAATTAATACCAAGTACAATGAATACAGAGGGAATATTTTCATTGTGAAAATTCAGTATTCACTCACTCACCAACTATTTGGAGTACTTCTAGGTGAACACGCTGACAAAATACAGAGTCTTCTGACACATCATGAGAAGCAATGTGCAAATGTTTGGCATAAAATTGGCTCCTGTCAAATGTAAGATGATGCTACAGGACTGGACTCCTAGCTTAAAGATAAGGAGTGAAGCGGTAAAGCATGTCACCACTTCACTTAATTGGGAAGTTGCATCAATGCCGATGAACTGATAGCTGACGAAATCTCAGCGTGGATACAGAAGGCTAGTTTGGTATATACCCGCCAACGTACGCCATCTCTGGCTTAGCAGACGTCATATCCAGCTGCCTGTCAATCAAACGACGTGTGTACTACTCAGCACTTCACTATGTCTTCATTGATGGCTGTGAGACATGGTAATTGGAGGTGAAAGACGTGAAAAGGTTAGCTATGTTTGATCATAGGTGCCTGCATTCTACCTCCCGTGTTAAGTGGTATAATTAAGTGAGCGGTATTGAGGTTAGGCATAGGTTGAGTGCTAGGTAAGGAGGGGAAACCACTCGATGAGGTTGTGAAGTTACACCGATTCGCCATGAAGTAGCTGATGAAAATAAAGGTTTGAGTGTTACGTGACCACAGAGTTCAGAGGACAAGTGTTTAAGGTCGATCAGTTACACACCGTCTGCTTGAAATTGTATCGGTTATTATCAGTTAAGAACTTCCTCAAGGTAGCAGCGGTCAGTCAAACAGCTAACATTAAATATTTCTCTCTATATTTATTTTCTTAAATAAATAGATACATGTTATGGTTTCCAAGCCGCTACGCATCGGTAGCACCGCAGTAGAATGGTCGCATACCACGCATGTGGTCTGGGGTTCGATCCCCAGTCAGCACACTATTTTACCTCGCTGAGCCAGTAATAAGACTGGCAAAAAGGGAAGGTTTGGCATGAGGCCAGCAACCCCATCCCGTAAAATTAACCACCACTGCTACCGAAACTTCAAACCTTTAGCTAGAAACCCTATATTCCAGTTGGGGAACTTAAAGGAATAAACAAAATGGTTTCCAAGGGGATTTTGTGTCAAATGAGGTAATCACTGTACTCATCCAATCATCCATTGACTACACTACGCTGATATCGTAACACCCTAGCAGTGAATAAATTTCAATGTTTGAGGGAGAAAAGAATGAAAATAAACACACACACACACACACACACACACACAAATTGACTAACCTTAGACCGATATTTTCAAGCATTTTTAAATCACCAATTGTATTCGGTAATGAACGCAATTCATTATGTTGCAAGCTTAAGGTACACAATTTTTGACATTGACCAATTTCTATGGCATGAACGATGACGATCGGAGAAATAAAAATAAATGTGATTTTAAAAAATATTAAAATACAAAAATAAGTCAAACTGGTAATTTGAAAAATTCATTCACCATTTTACACAGTCTGAGGAGGTGAAATTGCACTACAGTTACAAATTTGGAAACTGAAATTACTCATATCATCACCGTGCATGAACCGCTTGATAACATTGAAGGTAATTAAGAAAACAAGCATGAGTGTACGGCGCTATGTACTACTTACTGACTGATATAAGTAGCTATATATCACTCACATCAACCAGTAGTGGTTGCTGCTTACAGTGACATCGAAGTGATTTGAACAGCGGACCCCGCCGCTCCGCTCGATTGAGGCTGAGCTCATCAGTAGCACTGCGTTTGCGGGCTAACCCAGAGTAGAGTGAAAATTTGCAAATCTGACTTATCGCATCACCAGTTCGTTCAAGTAGTTAGGTAGAAATCAGGTGGTCTAAACTGGTTCAGCTCTCTGAGCTGGGTTAAACTAAGGTACAACGCTGATGAGCCGCTTGACACTTAAACGGGAAAAACGGCCATCTAGTGTCTAGATAACTTCGATCTGACTCGGTTAGCAAGCACTCCTTGGTTGATGTGAGTGGCATACAATCAATCATGTCAATCAATCAGTAGTGTATGGCGTCATAAAACAAAAACAGAGAAAATTAGGACATTATTATATTTCCCATTGATTGAAATGCACATTCCATGGAGAATCCCACTGCTAGTCACCAACCACACTACACACAAGAATAACATCATATTGATCTCCAGATATCGTCGAAGCATCCGTACTAGAAGCTGTACATGTGAACAGAGACCGAGGATTCCGATCCCATCAATGGCAAATTAAACAACTGATACGCGTTTTACAAGAGGTGACCTACATTACACTTTGGCATTTGAAATGATGGATGCGCTTGGTTCGATTCTCAGTGAGAGCACCAACACACACTCGAGGAGGATTGCAGGCACATCCACTAGTTGGCGAGTCCTAAACAGGACGAAATGTGAATCCTAGAGGATTCTTCTGCTAATCACATTACCACCACCCACCAAATGACATTTCCAAGACGATTTCATTTTTATAACTGTAGGACGGTATTCGCACATATGAATTACGATAAACAGTAACAAGTAGTTCTGTTGTATGTGTGTGTGCATTAAAACTTGAAGATGCATAGAAATCCTTGAAATACAATAAATATTAACGTGAATCATGATTTGTGATTAGTAATATGAAGGAGTAAATAAAGGCCAATACAAAGTTCAATAGACAGATGATAAGATTAAAAAAATTCGGAAATATGAATAAATGTGGATTCATCATATCCAAAATGAGCATTTATATGTTCACCTATAACGTCTGTAATTCAGTAGTAGAATGTTAACCAAAACATGCACGTGGTACCGGGTTCAATTTCCCACCGGCAGGTTAGATCTCCGAAATTAGAGGGAAGGTTCAGTGTGAGAATAACAACCCCCCCTCACAACCTATAAAAAGATACCACTGCTACTGAATCTTTAAAGCTCAAGTTTGAAGCCTTATTTTCTCCATTAGGAAAGCAAAGACATGACAAATATTCACCTGCTCTTGTAGAGGTTCTTCAGAACATCTCCTAGCTTGGCTGAGCAAAGGAGAACATCAAACCATTCATTTGTCTATATTACAACATAGAGTAGATGATAATGACCACGTGCAGCTTCTCAAACTGCATTCTTTAAGATCGTCTATAAGGTCTAACAGAATTTACAAGAAGGAGTATGAATGCACTAGAATTCACGCGTCATTAAATTTCACTCAGAGTGGCCAAACAGTCAACGAAGACAAGGTCACATAACGCGAAGGTCCCTGGTTCGATCCCCAACGGTAGGGTCGTAGACGCATACTAATGAAGAATCTCAATCTAGGATGAAACAGCTACCCAGTGTTTCGTGATGGTTCTTAATGCTTCTTTGACTGATGCTGGGTTCAAGACAAAATCTAACAACTGAAATTAATCGAAATCCCCACGAAAACCCAAGATGCCAGAAAGTTGACTGTCATCGACGCAGGAAACCTTGGACTAAAGTTTTTCATATGCTTATTGACGTTCATATCAAAAGAGTCTGAGACCCCTCTTCTGCGATTCGAATTCACGCATCACACACAGTATGCTGTGATCAATGGTTACAGATTCAGAGGCGTTACTACTGCAACTGAATTTGCATCTCCAGATGAATAGACACATCTTACTGACGAGTCCCGATAGGTACAAAACCAAAGACAGATGTACATTCATATATGACGCAAGGATAACTTACTTTCTGATAATTGTTCCAAATGATTATGTGAAACATCCAATGTAATCAAGTGAGTTAACTGACCAATCCCAGGTTTAGCTGGTAAGGTGTGAATTTTATTCTCGCGTAGACTGAGTACTTGAAGTTTCTAAGTTTTACAGAAACAATAAAAACAAAAAAAAAACAAAAAGGTATGTCATGATGAATATATTTCAGTCAATAGCGTGTAAAATAAATCGCTGTCAACTGAAAGAATGCACATAAATGTCATGGAGAACTCAAATTCGCAATGTGTGATTTACACAGTTCAAAGTAAAATCCTACTATAGCGTCCTTCAAAAACCGAGACTATTCAGATCACAAAATATGGGATCTACTTCATATCATAGATGGTAATCAGGAAAGGAAGTAGGAATACAGATCGGTATATTACATACTACTGATTGACTGAAATAAGTAGTTGGATACCACTCACTACATGAACTAGAAGTGCTTCTTAGAAATTGATCTAGACAATTAGGCTTGGAAGTTTTACATGAATTCAAGGGCTATTGGATCAGGTCCTAGTGGTTGAGTGGTCTGAAAGCTCTCTTTCTCTTCGCAACGACAAAGCCTTGAGCTTGAAACCAGTTGTTGGTTGCGTGCTGCTGTTCAGTACTCCGTGGTTATTAAACACAACTCCTGAACTGATACCATATAGGTGTAGGCTACCAAGAAAGCACGCATAATTACGTTAATTTTCGCTTGAATTTGAAGATCAGATAGCCGACAGGCCAGAAAGGATAAGCGACAAGGTACTCTGGTGACGACACCAACCAACCGACAACCTATGGTCTAACCAGCATGCAGAGTGAAATGCCACTCAGGGGACCAGTGGTCGACATAACACACACCCCTAGACTGGCCATATTGTTGAAGCCGATTGGGAAACGGTGAGTTGGGTGTCTGAAGGGATGATATAGAGATCATGTAATATGACGAGAAAATTGAAGCATATGGGAAATCGTGAAGCTAGCTAAACAGACAACAGAGAACGCAAAGTGAAATGGTGAAGTCCGTCTGAAGGCTTATGTTCCACTGTACTATTGACCGACTTAGAGAATAGCCGTCCAGAGGGACCACTACGCACCAAAGACCTTGAAACGCACAAGTAGAGCAAGTTAGTGAAATCAACCACCTAAATAAAAGTACAATCGTGACTATGGTTAGTTTAAGGAATAACCAGGCTTAGGTTTGAGTTAGACACTCAAATCTGCTTTTAAGCGCGATTGAACCTCTCAAGGGGCACTTTTCTGTAAGTTTGCCATAATACTGTTTACTGATTACCACAAGTAGTTGGGAAAGAGTTATCAACGCTGGACACTGTGCAGCTTAAGAGATTCCTACACAGGAAATAGAACTCATAAATTAGTGTACAGAATGAGTGAGTATATTAACTTATCGCAAAACAAACTTACTATGAACTTTGTTTCAGTTCCCACCTTGGATAGGCATATCAGAGATCGATTAATTACGGTTTGAATTTCCTCTTAAGAGAGCAGAAATTATGGTGGCATTCATTAAAAAAACATACAAACTCACTCAGGGACATGCTATGTAGGCTAAATAACCCTAATTAGATAAAATACCTTGCGATGACTGTAAACGAGGTCAACTGCATCGGTCTGTCAGGTCAGTAGATTACGGGGTGTCAGGGGGAGAAATGAGTAGTAAGACTATCGGAACATAAGAATTTAGCTAAGTGTATAGTGATTAATCCACACGAAGATAAATAGTTTACAGGAAAACTCAACAAGTGTATTGAATGAGCAGATACGCAGTCATATAATGGGGGTGGAGGAAAGCTACCTAAAATTCTAAAAGGTAGTATAGGTAGGTGGAGGGGGGAGAGACGTTGATCACCGAATCTTTCGATCATCGAATCTACACACTTAACACGTCGTGAAATAGTAAGAATGATGCAACGCCAAAACAAAAAATAATATGGAAAGTGTTATTACCACGATAAAATCAAAGGATAAGAAATAGTAGAACTATATTATTGGGAATTATCGGAGTGTGCACCCACCAAAGGGGTTCGAACCCAGGATCTCCTGGTTACAAGGTAAGCTCGTATGCCGTTCAGCCACTGGGATTTGACACCTCAATGGTCAGTCCATGAATTCTAACTTTTACCAATTCGTGATTTAGCGTGACCACCAACCAATGTCATCGGTGGGAAATCCAATCTCACTCTCGACTGGATGGACCTCACTAGAACTCCAGGGAACTCCTTCCTATAGCGAGTCACTAGCGAGCATCCGATTAATTTTCAAGAGTTGGTATATCAATCCGTCGCCACACTTGAAAACAAATCTAATCCTTACAATCCAACTCTTGAAAATAGAACTATATATATGTAAGCAAAGTTTGGTAGTTATCTGAGTGAGTGCCTTGATGATATGATGACGACTATGAGCTTCAATAAATTATGCTTTATAAGTCATCCATATCGCTATGTGAGTTTATCAAATAAATTTATTCTATGATGAAATTTATCGCCTCATCCGATTTATTTTCGCGTAAACTTCAATCTCTCTCTCTCTCACTTACTGAACACCACTATTTGTTTCATTAATCTCTACCCCTTTGTGATAAAATGAGCGCGCGAACGAGCTGGCATGTGACTTTGAGATAATCAAAATCATATCATATCCAGGGTTTTCACAGTGGATAAGCGCATTTGTACCTAAATGATACGAGCGCGCACACACCTACGCACCACAGACATACACAAATAGGGAGAGAGAGAGAGAGAGACGTGAAAAATTCAAGCCAAATAATGATAGTAGATATACAGACACAATACAACACAAACACACACTCAGATGCGGAAATACAAATACACATAATACTACTACTACTACCACAAAGCTGTGATTGGTTGACAGCCATAGTCTGTCTAAATATATTATCAAGTATACTATTTGGATCGATATTACATACATATCCAGGGTAATAGGCAAGAATACAATCAATGCGCAATAATATATTCAGCGTATATATATGTGCCAGATAATATTTTTCTGAAAAATATGATGGAAGCTATCCACAACAATAATAATTACTACTGCTACTAACTACTACAACTACTTCTGGTCGAGGTCTAGATTGCAACAAAATGTGAGATGGAAAACGAAAAATCAAAAAATAGGACTGTAGAGATACAATGAATGTCTGTGTAAGTGTGTGTGAGACAGACAAAATTTTCAACGGACAGACAACAAATAAAGACCAAAAAATTGAGGAATGGACAAATACAATCATCATAATGGTAGAGCATAAGCGTAGGCATGCCAACACACGTGTCTTAGCACTGGAGATGGACAGATAACAACTTATTATTATTATTATGAAACTTTTTCAAGAAAATTTACATTAAATAAGAGATAGATAATTACGAAAATTCCATTCTTGATTTTATTATTATTATTTTCTCCTCAGTGTTTTGGTGTACACACACACACACAAATGCACACAGTAAGTGAGTGAGTGATTGAAATATCACATTCTGCCAGAAGGAAAAATCACAAGCAATGAAAACAATTATTGTGCATATTAGGATGTTTCATGAATTAGATCACAAAAGTAGCGGAAACGCACCAACTACTACTACTACACGCACACAGGTTCACCTATAATATTAATAATAATACTACACAATGCAATACAATAATCAGAGAAATGTAAAAGTAAAGACCACTGAAGGATATTTCATCTAAAAATGGGATATCCTGCTGAAACCATTTCATCAAACAAGTATTGGTTTCGTAGGGATTTCGTTTGATTGGTTACAGGATTTCGTCATCAGATGACATCGGTTAGAGAACTATTGGAAAACCTGCAGGAAGTAATGGACAGCTGTTTCGTCACTCCGGTTTGAGACTCTCCTGTAGTACGCACCCACCGGGGTTCGAACCCGGGACCTTCTGGTTACAAGGCTAGCGTGCTCGTAGATCATTCATGGCCAGCCCATGAATTCCAACTTCTGCCAATTCATCATGTAGCGCGACTGCTAGCCAATGTCTTCGGCGAGTATTTGTACTCATACCCGACCTGCTGCACCCTACTGGTCACGTCTTTCCACTAAAATCCCAGGTAACTACCTACCTGAATAGGGCCAGTCGCTAGTGAGCATTTCATTGACATTCAAGTATTGGATGGATGGAATTCCCGCAGATAACATTGGTTGGTGGTTGCACTAAATCACTAATTGGTAGAAGTTAGAATTCAAGTGTTGGCCATTAAATCGGGTCCCAGTGGCTTAATGGTATACGAGCTCGCTAGCCTTGTAACCAGAAGGCCCTGGGTCCGAACCTCCTGTGGTTTGGGCGCGTACTATGGGAAGAGTCCTAAACTAGGCTGGCGAAACAGCTGTCCAGTAGTCCTTGTAGGTTTTCCAATAGTTTTCTAACCGATGTTAGCTCATGGCGAAATCCTGCAACCAAACCTGTATGTGTATCACAATTTGCCTTTTAAAGGAGATGATGTATTAGAAGTAGTTAAAAAAAAGACTTCATAAAGATATTAGAAGGACTTATTATACTGGGAAGCTTGTATACCTACCTAAACAACACTACGAAGTAGATGCGCTTCAACTATATTGTGAAGACCAGTCGGTAATAATTGGACACTTCTGTGCCTTTCACAATTGCAGTATGTTTGTGGAAGCAAATATACTTAAAATCGTACGGAAATGAGATTTTCTACTGACACATAATAGAGGTCATTTGCCAAAGGCGTTGAAAATGGACTGAAGTCAAGGTATCAAAAGGTTCAATAACAAAACACCTTGTAGACTACGGATATGATTTTAAAGCCGTAAAACCATTCACTGTTTTCAGCTGACAAACAAACAGGAAGATGCTTGCAATTGATTAGACATGTGTAATTTATTATTATTATTGTTCCCTTGGGTTCCTAGTGGAACATAGGGCTTCAACTGCACGCCTTCACTTGCTTCTGTCTTCTGCTGTACTTTTCACTTGCATCCATGTTAATCCATACTGTTTCAGTTCCTGTTCACACGATCTCCTCCATGTCACCCTCGGACGTCCCACTCGCCACTTCCCTTTCGGGTTCCACTCGAGCAATGGCCTGACGCGTGATTTCTCCCAGCGGCCTCCTCAGCGAGTGTCCAATCCATCTCCATTTTCTCCTGCATATTTGTTGAGCGACTGGTTCTTGTTTTGTTTGTTCCCATAGTTTCTTGTTGATGATTCTTTCCGGCGACATGTGTAATTAGATTTTATAAACCCGGTTTTCGTGTACAGAAGGAAATAGTCGTCACACTGAATCTACTATGGTAATATGTTTTACTTATTAACTGTTGTTATTATTATTAGTGATATTTTATTCTACCTATTATTATTATTACTCTTGATTCATTTAAAAATATCCTTTGTCAGTACCATTATCTTAACTCATTTTAACACAATAATAATAATAATAATAATAATAATAATAATAATAATAATAATAATAATAATAATAATTATTACCACTATTCGATCAGCAATGCTATATATATTCAATTTCTTTTTCTGAAAACTATTTGACATTATTTGGTGAGGTAGGTGACACTAGCAGTGGAAACCTCCAAGGCACGTGCATTTCATCCTATTTGGGACTCATCAACTAGTGGATGTAGATGTACTGGAATTATATCCAGTGAATAAATGATGGTTCCACCCTCTACTCCTTCACGCTGAGATTCTAAACTTAGCAGTTATCGTGTATTATCCACTAGGGCATTTGAGACAATAGGGGTCACTTTTTGCAGAGGCCTCCACCAGATGATAAGTCTCAAGTATGACGAAATACGTATGCTGGAGGATTTCACTGGTAGTCACTTTCCATCAAATAACCTCATCCCAATCCAGAGACACCGTCAAAACCTCCGTACCAAGAGTTGACATGTCAAAGGGAAATACAAAATTAAACCGAACAAATAAAAATAGAGAAAGGTGATTGCTTATCAGTAAGTTTTCAAACTACTGACTACTTCTCAGTGTCACAAAACGATAGCTTGGAAGAAAAGACATTTCCTGACTACCAGTACAATCTTATAAGCACTGCTGCTGGTTAGTAAAAGCGACACATAACCTGCCAGAGGAAAAAAAGAACGTAACTCCCAAAAGCCTTATCACAACTTTTATATCTTGTTCAACAAGTGTGTTGAGTATTTCTCATTCAATTATTATTATGATTATTTCTTTGAGTTTCGAGTGTCGCATAGGACTTAAACACCATATTTCCATTGAATCCTGTTATCTGAAGTCCTATTTCCCTGGCTTCACTATTCCTCATAAACTCTCATCTCCACGATCTCTTTCCCCTGTTAGGATCGAAATTCGAACTCATTGTTTCCCGATTGGGGTTCCACTCAAGGGTCTACCTGGTAATGTGTGACGTCACTCAACGGTCTCCTCAATGGAGTATATCCACTCGATCACATCGTTCCCTTCTACGTATTCCTTGGATTGGCAATAGATTGTTGGTTGGTTGCCTGAAAGAGTTCCTTGCTGCCAATTAACTGGTCTTTCCAACATGGAGTGAAAGCAGCTTTTGATAAAAATCTGAAGTAACCTGTTGGAAATGCTTTCACTGACGCAAAATGCATTGAATGTATTCGTGCATTTATTTTATTTTGTGTAACTTCAGTTCGTAAATCACACAAACACGCGAGCACACACACAGAGTTGAATTCTGTTATTGTGATATTTCACAGCATAACAGAATAAAAACAATTGTCGATTCTGTAATAGTTTTGTCTTCGCATTCACGAAGGTTATATAGTAACCATGATAAAATTAGAATCTTGATTTCAGTACATTTTCAACGCCTTCAACAAATTTCCTCTATTATGTGTGAGTAGACAATCGCCTTTCCGTACGACGTTATTTATATTTGCTTTCACAAACATGCTGCATTTGTGAAGCGTCCAATTAGAATCTAAGAACACAAATCAGCCGTGAAAAGACACGACATATATTTTTTAGTATCAATGCATATAGACAATTATGGTCATCAATTTGATTGGGATAATGTCGAAATCTTAGACACCAAAAGTGCAATCAGGGAATTCCTAGAAGCCTGGTACTCAAACGAAAATGCAATTAACAAACACGTTAATATAGACGAAATATACCAACTAATAAAAAGCAAATCAGGTGACTAGAAAGTTTAAAATCCAAGTCAATATAGAAAATGGTCAATACATATGTAAAGATAGTTACCGGGAGACGCAATTATATCACTCATGAAGAAATTTAAATCATTTCACTTTATGCTAATAATTGCGCTGAAGATGTTGTCCAGATGGGGGACGACGAAAGCCCCACGACTAAACCAACCAGCTCAGAGAACACTATTAATTGCAGAAGTCATTATTCTCAGAGATGCATCACCTTTTTGTCCTTTCTCAGAATCAATGTCAAAGTCAATCGCCTGAGCAACACACAAATACACAACATACACTTTTACCACTTTCTTTCCACTCTAAGTGGATCAAACTGTTTAAGCCTCAAAATTTCACTAGAAGTGATGTTTATAAAGTTAACCGAGATGGGGTTTCCCTCTTCACCAGACTTTTACTACCGGTTGCATAAAGTCCCAGCAAGGAATCAATCCCAGGACCATGTACTTGGTTTGCGGTGGCCAATATACAGCTATACCATCCACACACAAAATACATGGATACATTGATGATACTGTACAGTTGATCATTCCCCACTGAAATGGGTGGGACGGGGCTCGAACCCAAGAGCACAGACAGATAAACAACACACGCATAGGTTATAAAGCCAGCATAAAATGATAATGCAATACAGCCTTGAAAAAAAGGAACACACACACACAAACTTATACACTTACAGTTAAATATTGAATTTCTTCATCCACAACACGTATACGATTAAAGCGTAGAAATAAATGTGTTAAATTGTATAGCTTGTAAACAACTCGAGGAATTTCGCATAACTTATTATGTCTAATATCTAGGACACGTAATTGTTTACACTGTGCCAATGTTTCTGGTAAATCACTCAATGAATTCTCTTGTACCATTAATATTTCCAAGGTGTACAGTGTACCGATTTCATCTAATTTATGAATAATATAAAACGAGAAAAAAAAATCGATCAATAAATCAATGATATAGATTATATAATCATATACATTATATTCTTGCATTATTTATTTATCTATTTGTTTCATTAACAAAGTGGAACTGTGGATTGTTGGTTTATGTAGATGGTCATTTTCCCACCATTGGGTCCTAAATTCGAACCCTGTGCTTCACCTATCGAGATTTAGACAGCCAACTTTTCTCTTATTTCCTTGTGTCATAGGGCTCGAAGGGTCAGCTTTGAAGTTTCAGCAGCAGTAATGTTTTCCATGGGCCGCTCTTCACGTGGCTTACTACCAGCTAAGCACGGTGAAGGAGTACGTCGGCCGGGAGTCGAACCTTAGACCATATGGGTGGTGGGCAAGTAGTATTTTATTTTATTAAAGCTTGATTCCACACAGTATATTGGTACAACTAAGGAATTGTCAGCATGTGATATCGGTAGCCCAAATCTAGCAGGCTGACCACTGATATCAGGTGTGCGTCAGCCGGGGATTGAGCCCCGGACCATGTGTATCGTCGGCGAGGGTCTAAACCGCTGTGCCACTGACGCACACAGTATTTGGATTGGACACTAGTAACTAGTGTAACGTGTCTAGTCCTTTCTTTGGTGCACACAGTATTCCTGCTACTGAGCTACTATTACACAGAGAGGCAAGTAACTGCATGGAATTGCATGTGATTATAGACTAACATTTATTCTCTAACAAAAGGAACAATAAAAATCAGCGCCTTACAAGAGAATTAAACATTAGTTTTCGAGTTTTGTTTCTACACCAGTCAGTTTACAAACGGATTCAATCGGTCAATCAGTCAGTCAGATAACAGACTTCAGTGGTCTTAACAAGTTCAACTACGCTGAAAAATCATGAGGTTTTCTTTTTTAAGGAATTAGAAAGAAAAATATTGTATTTTCTAAAACAAACCCCCTCTCTTCCCTACGATTGCCTTAGATTCCCCCACCGACCATCCAATATCTGTTTCACTTCAACATACAGAGCATGGATGATGATGCTAGTGGGTGGAATGAGAATCTAGGCTGTGGCATGGGATTTGAAACCCAAAGGCCTCTGAATTACCAGAGTCCAGTAGTCTGCCTACCACCAGTGGAACTACAAGGTCCAACTATGCTAACCAATTCATCGTCATTACTTCACTGCAATCACCACTAGGGGCGATGACTGCGAACGTATCAAAACCTACAACATCAAAAGCAGGCTGTATCAAATCAAGACTACTTCTCAGGTAGTCTCTACATCAATACATACATATATACATATATCGTTCTATCGTTGAAGCTCATGTGAGTATAAAAATGAAGACTTAGATAGGGGTAGGTGGGAAACAACTGATCAAAACTGCACCGTTATACTCGTCGCCATCATAAATTCATTATAAATGCTATTTCAAGTTTGACCACGTATTGATATCGGTTAGAGAACCAATGAAAACCAGCAAGGAGTACCGTACAACTGCTTCGTCCTCGGTTGGTCGGTCGGTTTTCGACGTAGAACTTTGCACATATGTGCAGCAGTTCAAGTCACCACACTCCATGTAGCACACAAAGCAAGAGAAGAAATGCATAATATAGACAGTAAACAGAGGTGTGAGACAAAGGAATACTAATAACGAAGAACAAAACAGTTTCATTGGAAATCATATGTCACAAGGAGTGGATGCATCTACGCCACTGAGAACGATTTTGAGCCATGTCACCAATTGTTTCCAACCATTGGTGTTTACCATCCCGAGGACCCCAACCACGATGTCTACATCTTCCTACGTGGCTTAGACTAACTGTTGTGGATTTCATTGACTGATGAAGCCATGACTTGGTTGACCGCTGCTAGCTCTTTTCCAGCCTGACCCTATATCAGCTAACATTGCCCGTCGAGGAAGGCGATGACTAGACATACGTAGCACATGTCCTAACCATCTCAGTCGATGTAATTTCACAGTCTCGTCGATTGATTCCCCCTCCCTTCTTACCTAGCACTCGACGCTTAACCTCAATATTGCTCACCTTGTTATACCACTTCACGCGGGAGATAGAACGCAGACACCTATGATCGAAGACAGCTAATCTTTTTATGTCTTCCGCTCTCAATGGCCAGGTCTCACAGCCATAAAGGAGGACGGAGCGGACTGTTGAGCAGTACACACGCCCTTTGGTCGATAGTTGGATATCACGTCTACGCCAGAGACGGAGTAAACTGGCATAAGTGAAACTAGCCCTTTGTATTCGTGCTGAGATTTCGTCGGAGATCAACCCCTTGGCATTGGCTGATGGTACTTCCCAAGTAAGTGAAGCAGTCAACGTGCTCTACCACTTCACTTTCTATTTCTAATCTAGGGGTCGGTGTAGTCGAATCCTGCAGCATCATCTCCGTCCTAGCTTGAGACTGACTCCTTCTCTCCAGAGGTGTGCACCTACAACCCCAACGCAAGGGACTGAACTCGGGACTTTCAAGTTACGTGACAAAACTCGCTAACCATACAGACACTTCCACCAGCACTCAATGACCCGTGGAATCAAAGTACTTTATCAATTCATGATATAGCACTACTGTGCCAATCAATGCCCTCCGACCAGTGTCCACTTCACCTCGACATTTTGGACTCCACTGGTCATGTCCTTTCAGTACACCAGCTTCAGAACATCTATCAGGTAGGAAGGCAGGTGTCAATTAACTGGAGATTGATATTTAGACTACAGCTGAGCACTGATGAAGAGTAAGTCTCAAAATAGGACGGGACAGATACCCAGTACGTGTTCCACTCTAGTTTCTAATGATCTCTAATTGATTTCAGTTCATGACGAAATCTACATTGCGATAGTAGATTCACGAAGAGAAATGTTCTTTTTAGAAAGGAAACTGCCTTTGTTGGCAGCTTCAAGAAAGAAAACACCAATCAATATTCCCAATCAAAATAATGCTAATCTTTAACAATACTCAAAAGAGTTCAAGTTATGATAGTTTTTTTTCTTCAAAAATTAAACTCTGATCACCAGACTGATCCGTTGCAGAAGTTAATGATGATAGGTTATCGTGGAATGCAGACACACTGACATGTTTATTCCATTATAATTACGCGTATAACACCTAATATGCATACATAGTATCCAATTATCTATACTGAACTTATTATTGTAGGATATTATTATTACTAATTAATCAGTTCCAGTGTCTGTTCAATTAATGTTTGACCTAGTTTCGGACAACTATGTCAGGCATCATCACTATCTCATCCTCATTCTTTCTTTCTATACGATTTATTGAGTTAAGAGATAAAAATATTTACTAGATGTCTGTTTTTTAGGATAAATTTTCCATTTCCAATTAATGAATTATGTTAAACCCAAAAATGTTCGGATTCTATCTCGTTGACTCCTGTGGTATGGACATTTTAACGATGTCTAGAGTTGCTGGTGGAGGTAACTAGCAGTGGAATCCAGAGCAAGCACATTTCATCCTATTCGGGACTCACTAGCCAGTGGACATACTTGCATCTCCTCTAGTGAGTGATGTCCCCCCCCACTGGGACTCGAAGCCTGCACCCACACTGTTTTAAACACCAAAGTCTTATCTACTAGACCTAGATGGCGACGAAATATACATCCTGGATTCCACTGCTAGTTACAACCCCTAACCAACTTCTTGGACATCGTCAAAGCATCTGTACTATGTGCCAAAATATCAACAAAATTCGAGCATTTGTGGTTCAATAGAATCAACCAATCAACGGGAAATACAAATTTTTTTATCTGGAAGCAAATAATAGCTGACACCCACTGTATAAGGGGTGGCTCTCGTGTCCTAGTGAATAATCCTTTGTCTTTTAAAACGATAGATGCAGGGTTCGAGTCTTATTGGGAAAATTCCTACTTAGTGTAAATAAAGGAAAATTCATCCATTCAGCTCACGAGTTTCAAATAGGACGTAATGTGCGCGCTGGATTCTTATGCTGGTCATTACGATTACATTAAGGATCATTTAAAAATACCAAGAAATAACAGATGTTAGAAGTTGTTTGTCTATTATCAACGAACGGTTGTCACACTATACACTAAAGACATACACTATGGGATGAAGGCTAAAGAAAGTATGAGCACTGAAACAGATTCTAGAGGAGTTAGGTGGCTATTCTCTTTCTCTCTCCCAGTGAGGATCAACTTCTACTTCACTGAGGGAGAGGTATTTAGTTGGAATGAACAGTTTCAAACTACAAACACCAGTTATTAGTATAGGCTCCATAAGATATTTCTATGCACATAATGCTGACTACATTTACATTAATTTTATTTATAAAACACAAACTTGGTACATTATATGTACCAACCAAGAGACACGCCACACAAAATCTCTCAGTTTGTGTGAGAGCTGGGATACTGCTCGGACACCCAGATAGAAGTAATTGGTTGCGTTAATGCCTCCCCCTCCCCGAACTTTTGACTTGAAGTTTTTTTTCCACAAGGCAGTGGAGAAGCGTTAGGCGCTAAGTTACCATTGTCGACGGTGACAAAAACAGGTTCATAAGCCATTTGATCCTTTCGGATTGTAAAGCTCATGTACACCAGTTGGGCTTTAAGTGCCAGACGTTGGCGTTCGTCCTTTCACTTTTGTAAGGCACAACCCTGCCATGTTAAGTCGGTAAGTAGGACTTACGTAGTAGAGGCTGTGAACACGGGGCTACGTGAGAGTATTTCGAGAGGAAGACAAAAGTCCACCCACCCTCGGTAGTACCAGGTCGTTTGTGGAGAGAAATCATTTGTCGTGTCAATCAGAGTGACTTTCAAAAGGAATTTCAATAATGCAACGTTCTGGAGTGCGTAATCCAAGAAAACACCCGATTTCAATTAGATTTATCAACATTTGTAGTTAATAAATATATCTGCTAGAATCAGTGGTATATAACAGCTAACGAGATTGGAAGAGTTTTCAAATCTTCTAGGTAGGTAGACTGGAGAAGAAGGCTTTGAACCCAAGAACAATTGACTCAAAGTCAAATGTAGCACGGACTAATGAGACAGACAAGTTAAATTAAACAGGCGTGGAGAAAAAAAACTTTCCTTTGAGTAGTCTACAAATAACAGCTTTATGTATATATACAAGAAAATTAGTCTTTAATTTGCATGTATACGGATAGATAAAAGGATGAGATGTACAGAAAGAAAGGTAGAATCGTCTACTTTTGCAGCGTGATGCAGAATGATGATGGGAAGCGGCCAAAACTGAAATCAACATTTTAAGCCAATGGCTGAAGCAGAGGTAGAGGTATTTATTCCTCAAATTTACAATTAGTTTACGTTGTGAATATGAAAAAACCTGATTGGACAACCTTGTTCAACCTTGGATCAATTGTCAACCAATCAAAATAATTTATTCTCCTCTGAACTAGCCGAACTTTTACTCAATAAAGGTCTCTTACCAAAGGTCTCTCATCGTCTCCCGTTACACTTGTATATCAAAAACACATTCACCTCCAATGATTAAAGAAAGCTTAAGCAAACAACTAAAATCAAGAAAATGGACATCAACTAACCAAGATAAATGGGGCAATTAATTTTTAAGTATTAATTTGTGAGTAAATTTCATCGGTTTCAAGGTAGATTATAGACTGACTTCAGTTAAAGAATCATTGAAAACCAAAGAGTGTCTTGGAATCAATCCTCGGTGTAGTCAATCATGCATGTGTACTGCTGAAGAATCCAAAGCCAGGAGGAAACACCTGTGTAGTACTCCCTGCTGGTTTTCGATTGTTCTCTAACTCATGTGTGTGTGAGTTCGTGATCAAGCTTGAAATCAACTAAACCGATGTTAACCAGCAATTGAAAACTAATCCACATCTCACTAGTGGCTGTCTAGAGAATGAAGGAATCTGCATGCATTCTGTTCAGAAGTCGTGACCAGAGGGGTCTACCAAGTTGACTGAGAGGAAAAATACTCGTCGATAATAGTGATTTGGCAGTTGCGTTATACAACGGAAATCGGTAGAAGTTATGATTTATAGACCACCTATTGGATTCTACTCCAGTGGATGAATAGTCAACGAGGTCACCTCACAACCTTGACGGTTTTCGACCCGATCCTTAGCAACGAGGTCATCTGCGCATACTGATGAAGAGCTCTAAATCAGGACGAAAAGGCTGTCAATCAAACTAACACTTAAAAACACCAAGTGTGAATACAGCAATTCATCAGTTAAAGCGAAAACACCCATTTCCGCAAGCAGCTTTTTTGCGGAGGGGGATATAATATTTCATCATAGTTTATAATAATGTACATAGACGATAAATTTACAGTTAGAAGTATGATTCAGGAGATTCGCGAATCTCAGACGAAAAGAAGAAAACACTAAAAATGCTACATAATTTCTAGAAAACAGGGACCTAACTGACTTTGAGATCAACTGCTGAGTGGATAGGGTATTACTTTCAGTAACTATAGTCCCCCCCCCCCCGCCTACTGTATGGTGGCAAATGAAAGTACACGGCTAAAGGGAGATTGAAATCAGGGAATAAGGGGGGAGGAAAGCTGTGATCCACAGCTTTTTAGTGAATAAAACATAGTTGTGAATTTTACATAATCAACAGAAATGACATTCAAATGTTATTTTTCGTCATTTTTTGGTTTCCCTTGGAGTGCAGTATAAGGTATTAAGCCCAAGCTTTGAAGTTTCATTAGCGGAAGGGTTGATTTTACAGAGTGGTGGGTAGCTAGCTAGTCTGAAGCCCAACCCTCCTTCATTCTACAAGAGCTTAATACCGGCTGGTAAATTAGGCGAGGCTCCGGAGAAGTGAGTCAGCGGGGAATCAAACCCCGGAGTAGCATATGCATAATTAGCGAGCATTCTACCATTGAACTGTGGTAGAGAAGGCGGGTAACGGTAACTTATCATATGAAGTTAGTTAACAAGCGCATACTTTATTTCATTACGGTTGTTGTTCTGTTTTATTAACGCATAAAACTAACCGACTAACTAATACACACATACACATATGCACACAGAGATAAACACAAATAAACATACACAAGAACTCACTTGGTAAATTCACTAATTTATTACAATAAAGATAAAGTTCTTTTAAATGATGTCCAACATCTCGTATTGATGAAGGTAGAAAGTGTAATTGACCTTTGGATAAATCCAGGCGTGTAGTATTCTCTTCACGGCACCGATTTATCTCTTTGATAGCATCCTGTAATTATTAAATATTATTGTGGATTATATACATAAACATATCATTGGTAATGGTATACTGACATTCATATTTTGTGTGCGTGTGTGTATTTGTGTGCAAAGATGCGTGCACGCATAAATGAAAAAATACAGAGAAAGAACGAATCAAAATAATCAAGAATTCATCGGTATCATAACATAACACAACATCAGCAACATATATCGCGAATTGGAAGAAGTTGGAATTCATGAGCAAGCGGATCGGATCCCAGTGACTGAATGGTCTACGAGCTCACCGCGTAACCGCAAGGTTCCAGGTTGAAACCCCAGTGGGTACTTATCACTGAAGAGCTCAAAAATAGGATGAAACAGTTGTCTAGTAGCACACCCTAGTTTCTCAATGGTTCTTTAACTGATGTTAGCTTGTGACTGAAACTGTAGCCAATCAAATCCCTGCAAACTAATGCTTGTTTTCATCACGAGTCAGCTTTACACAAGGACTGTCTTCCTAGAACTACTATACAGTTATTTGCTTACTCTGGACAAACTTCTCTTTCATGTACCAGGGCTAATAAGGCATTAACACTTATTGTGCGTGTGTGTGCGCGTGAGGGATGATATAACTACTCTACCCAGTTGCCTGAGCTGGAAGTAAGTGGATTAGAACTCAAAACCCGTTGACTGATTGTAAATCGAGTGATTGAGCCAATAACTAGTGAAAGATGCAGCGATAAAGGTAACAAGTTCGTTAATAATATTCTTATTCTTATTGGTTCTCAGTGGAACATACAACTTCAACAGAATAACTCTACTTCACTCTGTATATTCTCCTGCAGTCCTCATTAACTGCCTTCACGATAGCCCATAAGCTCTAATATCCTCCTAACGCGACCTCATACACGTCACCTTCGGACCACTGCCCAACTTCTCGTTTGCAATTCGGCTTCCACTTGACTGATGGCCGGCCTGCTGCGTGGTGTTACTCAACGGTCTCCTTAGTGTATGTCCGATTCGGTATATTTATTTTTTTCCGGTATATTTATTGGGTTGATGATAGATCGCTGGTTGATTCGTTGCCTAACAGAGTTCGATTTCGCTAATCCTTTTGTGCCTGAGGGCCACCTGACCTTCAGTATGCAGTGAAGTAGGCAGCTGTTGGAAATGCTTTTGCTGATGTGTGTGTGTCAAGTCTGCACACACTAACTTAATATTACTGCTGAAAATCCAATTCCTGTTTGTAGTTGAGAAGATGTGAATTCCCAAACTGCAAATAACTAATTATGAAATATATCCTCCTCCTTCTTTTTCTCCTCAGTTGTTTTATCGATCAAAAAATTTCTGATAAGGGCTACAATAATGGAAATTTTCGCTAGTTGTTCAATAACACGAAATATCCTTCAGACAGGGATGCTTATCATCAAGGAAGGTTAATTGAATTGATGAACCGATACAAATTTTAGCATAATTTCAGGATTGTTCAAGAACTAACTTCAGTTAGAAAACTAATGAAAACCAGCATGGAGTAATGAACAGATGTTTCGTCCTTGTTTGGGACTCTTCATCAGTATACACCCATGAGCCCAACGATGGGGAGTGAAACCACGACTACCCAGTACTAGTTACTGGCTAGAAGGGAAAAGTGCCTGAAGTTCTAGTGAGAAGTAGTGACCAGTGGGAGTTCGCCAATTTGAGTGCGAGCGAATATACTCGTGGATGACATCGGTTTATGGTCGCGCTATATATAAAGAATTGACACAGAAGTTAGAATTCAAAGGTCGACCATTGGATTCCATCTTTGTTGCTCAATGGTTAACTAGCTCGCCTCGTAACCTGAAGGTCTTCAGTTCGATCCTTAGTGGGGTCATGGTTGCTTACAGCCAAATTATGATGAAACAGCTGTGCAGTGCTCCCAAGTTATTAATGGTTCTCTAACTGAAATTCGGTTTGTGATGAATCTCAAAATAGAACAAATCCGCTCACAAACTAACGCAAAAAGAAAATAATTACATCTAGAATAATGCGAATTCAAGGGATTTAGAAGATTATGAAGGGTAAATGCATATGTGCCATTGACAACAGTTTTAAGCTGCATTACCAACAGTCTCCAGCGACTGATTCTTAGTGTCTCGATGAACCCAATCACGTAATCTACACCTCCTAATGTAACTGGCTCAAACTAACAATCGAATACATCATGAATTGATATTATATTTTCATTTGACCAGCAGTAATTCTTTTCCAACCTAATTCTTTTTCGGCTAACATTGCTCAATGGGTAAGGCGGTGCTTTCGAATGCATAACCCACATGTTCGAATCACCTCAATCGATAGAATACAGACACCTTTGGTCAAAAATAGATGATAATCTCTTCAAATCATTGACTTTCAATGGCTACCTACGTCTCACACAGGGATAAAGAAGGATAGAGTGAACTGCTGCTGTGCGCTATATATGTCCTTCGATCGACAGCTGAATGTCATATCACGTCTACACGCGGCAAACATGACAGATATCATATGAAATTTAACAAAAAACAAAAACAAAAAAAGACTTACAGAATCTGTTTTCTTTGTTTTTCTAAGATGTGGTCCACATTGATAAGCTTTTTGATCACCAGGACGTTGAACCGTAACTTTCGCCTTTTTTGGATCAAACGGTGACGAGGAGCCGACTAGGGAACTTTTCTAAAATAATATAAATGAATAAATCGACCAAATAAGTATGTAGCATTCCTCGAAGAAACTGGTTATATTATTAATTTGAGAAAATCAACTACAAAAAGAAACAAAAGAATTTTTTTAAACCTGTAACATTTGTTAAACACTGAGTTCTTTGACTAGTCACTAGGTAGCACAACTAATGTCATGCTTATAGTCCTCGGTGTCAGTTAAGTTTACTAAGCTAGGTGACTCGATTACTCAACAAATATGTAGGAGAATATGGAGATGGACAGAAGACCAGCAGTTCAACGAAGAGTCTCTTTTCGACGGCGAATTCATTTTCATAGCTGTACAATCGCAAATATATATGGTTGTTTTGTATGTGTGTGTACAGTAAATTTGTCAAACGAAATTACAATTAGTAAGTTCAGATGAATTGGATGTTGATATAAGAGGATAGTAACAAAAGTGATGAGTTGTCACAAACGATTGTTAAGGAAGAGTTACGTAAAATGGAGATGGATCGGGCATTCATTAAGGAGGCCATCGCTCGAGTAGAATCCAAATGGAAAGCGACGAGTGGGTCGTCGGTGCGAGGGTAACATGGAGGAAATCGTGTGAGGAAGAGATGAGAGAGTTTGGCCAATCATGGACACAGTTGAAGAGCACGGCAGAAAACAAAACAAAGTCGAGATGTGTTGTTGAAGCCATATGTCCCACTCGGAACCCAGGGGAATAATAATAATAGTACTTTTTGGTGGATGATGTCTAGCAGTGGAATCATCCAGGATGAGCATTTCGTTCTATTTGAGACTAGTCAGATGAATATACCAATATACTACTGATTGATTGAGACGAGTAGCTGAATACCACTCAAATCAATCAATTAATTTGTGAATTTCGAATTTGACTTATGGTATGACCAGTGTTCGCCAAAGTGGCCAGCCAGAAATCGGGTAGTTTGTGAACTGATTCAGCTTGTTGTTTAAAGCACTTCTATACAGCTAGCTGGCAAGCAAGCACTACTGGCTGACGCAGGTAGTACACAACTACTACTCATCTCAATCAATTAGTAGTATATAGTTTTGTGCAACAATTATGCTTGATTCCTTGATTACCATTTATGGTACATCAAGCAGATCACACATATTATGATTTGAGTAATTTAGATTTCCAAAAAGGAAATACCGTAGGGTAATTTCACCTTGAATGGTGTAAGAAGCAAATTAATTTGCAAATTGAGAATTTAACTTATGAATGTACTTGCGTTCCCCATTGAGTGGGTGGAGGTGTCACCACTAGAACTCAAACCCAGTGCCCTTCGTACCTAAAACACACTAAGGCGTTATCCATTAGACCACTTGTGCCACGACAGCCGCCTTTCATGTAACGGGGATAACTTATAGGTTTGTCTAAGTCGTCTTTTTTTCTCTCATTGAATGATTGAAGAGAAATGTTCCGCTTATGATGATATGTTGACTCTCCTGGCTCAAGTAGCCTAGTGGATACCACTTAAGCGTTTGAAACAAAAGGTATTGCGTTTAAGTCGCAGTTGGGATACCATCATTCACGGATGACAGCAAATGCATCCAGATAACGAGTTGCAAATAGGATGAGACGACTAGCCTGGACGATTCCACTGCTAATCAGCATACACCAAATACCATGTAAGTCCTTAAACATCGTCGGAACGTCCGTACCAGGAGCCAACATGTCAACAGAACCCAGGTATTTTAGTGCAATCAATCAATCAATCGACAAGATAAGCAAGATTGACTTTCCATCTTAAAATTAGTTAGGAGTCTCACTTAGCCGTTGTACTGTGGTTATGGCTCACAATTACTGTGTTAGGAGGGCTGAAGATACTCACCAGTTCTCCTGGTTGTCAAATAAGCCAATGGAGCGGGTCGGTCGGTTTTCGATATAGAACTTTGCACATATGTGCGGCAGTTCAAGTCGCCACACTCCCTCCTTGTAGCACACAAAGCAAGAGAAGAAAGTAGGAGAAATGCATATTAGAGACAGTAAACAGAGGTGTGAGACAAAGGAATAGTAATAACGAAGAACAAAACAGTTTAATTGGAAAACATAAGTCACAAGGAGTGGATGCATCTGCGTCACTGAGAACGATTTTTTGCCATGTCACCAATTGTTTCCAACCATTGGTTTTTACCATCCCGAGGACCCCAACCAGGAAGTCTACACCTTCCTACGTGGCTTAGACTAACTGTTGTAGATTTCATTGACTGGTGCCATATCAACTAACATTGCCCGTCGAGGAGCGGGTACTCTAACTCGATACGCATTGGCCGAAAGTCAAGTCTTTAAGTGAGAATGAAACATATCCCCACATACATTTCATCGTGAAGGTATGTAGCTCTGACTATCAAATCATTAGAGCTAACTATGAGATCGAATATGGATCTGCCAAGATGTGTGCGCATAAATTGTCTAAGAATGTAGTAGCTTACCTCACAGATCTTAAATCAATAAATTGGTTACATTAAGAACGATTAGGGTTACAAAACCACACGCAGTGGTAGCCTTATTTTTTTTCAAGGTTGAACATGAACTGACTTCAGTTGAAGAACTATTAAAAACCAACAGAGAGCACTAGATATCTGTTCCCTCCCTCCCTGACTCTTTAGTAGTACTCACTCACCCATCACTTCTATTGACGGGAATCGAACCTAGAACCTTCAGCTTACGAAACCATGCTCGTTGACCATTCCGTACACTTAGGCTAGAATTAAATCATCCATGAATTCTAACTTCTATCAATTGGTGATAGGTAGCGCTACCCACATGCATGCCTTCTTGACATGCTGGAACACCCCCCTACCCCCCCCCACTGGTCACAGCTTCTCAGCACAATAGCTTCAAGACATCTATCCAGTAGCTGGAGACTGATATTTAGATGATTATGTATGCAGTTTTGTAGGGATTAGAATGCTTACTCCTAAATGGTCAGTCTCGAACTAGGATGAAACAGCTATCCAGTGTTTACACACTCCATGGTTCGTTCTCAGTGATCACTCTAACTAACTGATGTTGGTCAGTTTACAAGACGACACATCTAACAATTGAAATCCCTACAAAAATATCAACCCCCTAAATCTAAATAAACATTTTCTTTTTGTTCTCTTAAGAAAGCCAGTGATCGAAACAAAACACCCTTATTAGTAATATACATTAGTAATAGTGATTTATAGCTGATAGTGTTAGTACATGTCTGTACAAGAAAATAGTAATAATAATAATAATACCAAAGAGCACACAAAGCTAAAGTAAACAATCTTTTGAAAGATACAATCTGATACCCATAACACCTTATTATTTCATGGCACTTTATCAACTGGAAAAAATAATGATTACCATTATTAATACCATCTGCGTTCCTTTAAATAGACACAGCCTAATGTAGATGAGAGCGAAAATTGGTCAAAGTTTGAAATGCCAATGAAAAAATAGTAAATAGAAGTAACCGGAAGGTCCTCGGTTCGAACGCTGGTGGTGGGTGCGTACTGCCGATGATTCCCAAACTAGGATGAAACAGCTGTCCAGTACTCCCTGTTGGTTTTCAATAGCTCTAACTGATATCAATCCGTGATCAACTCATAAAAAGTAAGTAGAATATTGAATAGAGATACGAAGAAGAAGTAAGAATTAAGTCGATCAACATCAATAAATAACGGATCCTAGGAATGTAAAGGTTTAATGATCCCAAATAGGGTAGATGTACTTTAGATGCTGCTGATGTCTTACATCATAAATATTGCCTTCTGTCTCATTAGATAAAGGACACGAATATGTTCGATGTGCTCTTGACTGTGTAGCCAGACGTCTTTTGTTAAATAAGTCCTCCTTGAGTCCTGGGTTGATAGCTGGTCGCATTCTTATTTCTCTGACAGAATGTAATATACTGTATATAAAGGCAAATCTTTCTCTGTCTTGCTTACTGAAGCCGGCGTCTCTGAAGGTGTCATTCTCTTTCCTCTTCTTCTTTCTTTCTTTCTTCGTACATGAATTGCTTCTTTAGGAAGAAACCCATTTGGGTAGATATGCTAGTGATTTGACTGTCTTGTTGACAGTTCCGTCCCGAACTGACTGTTTTAAACTGAATAGCTTTTAAGGGGATACCAGTTAGTCGTATCAGTTAAATGATCTTATATTAAACCCTTCCAAATGTCAGACAGTTAACTTCACATTCAGGCATAAACATGTTCATTCATAAGATGCTTGTAGCATAGACGGCAGCGAAATTGAAACTAAATCAAGCATTAAATATCCTGGAATAATTATTTTCATCTGACCCTTCTTAGTCATCCCATATCTTGTCGATTTCTAAGAAAATGTTCCGTCTAACCTACTACATTAAGAAGTTAGGGTAATCAGGTATTAGTCAACGTCTACTTTTACAGTTTGTTAACTCTTGTACATTACCTATTGTTCTTTACTGCGCTCCCCGGGCTGCTCAAAAAGGACTGTCAGTAGGGTAAATGGTGTGTCACTAAGTCAGCTCGTTCTTATTGCAGTAGACAGACACCTGAACTCATGCGAGAAATGGACTAAATCCGTATTGTCTGACTCTCAGGACCCTTTTCAATTCACAAATCTCACCTTGTATCTCATAAGTAAGACTAGACGTCATTATAAGAAGTTATATACCGGTACACCTAACTACAGAGACTCAACGATGCCCTACATGGCCAACGACCTATGTGATAGAGAAAGTGTTAGGCGTTAAACTTGATAACTTACTGTGTAATTAGTAGAATGAATTACTATTTGATCTTCCCATACTTGCAATTTTTGGCGACACTATTTCTATTATTTACACTTTTATTTGTTATTATTATTATTACTACTTTATAATTCCTCAACTACAGGAGGAACGGACGAAGATGTCAAACCGAGGATCGGTAAGGAGAGAAACACATTCATCAACCTGAAACCAACCTGGAAATCTTCGTCACTCAAAATCAACTACAAAATTCGGATTTTCAATACAAACGTCAAGCCAC